TCCTAGGTTTTCTTCTGGGATTTTTATAGTTTGAGGTCTTATATTTAAATCTTTAATCCATCTTGAGTTAATTTTTGTATATGGTGAAAGGGGTCCAGTTTCAGTCTTCTGCATATGGCTAGCCAGTTATCCTAGCACCATTTATCAAATAGTCTCTTCCCCATTGCTTGTTATTGTTGACTTTGTTCAAGATCAGATGTTTGCAGGAGTACAGCTTTATTTCTGACTGCCTCCATCCTATTCCATTGGTTTATATGTCTGTTTTGGTACCAGTATGCTGTTTTGGTTACTGTAGCCTTATAGTATACCTTGAAGTTGGGTAGTGTGATGCTTCTGGCTTTGTTCTTTTTGCTTAGGATGCTTTGACTATTCAGGCTCTTTTTCAATTTCATACGAATTTTAGAAAAGTTTTTTTCTAATGCTGTGAAAAATGACGTTGGTAGTTTGATAGGAAGAGCATTGAATCTGTAAACTACTTTCGGCAGTATGGACATTTTAACAATATTGATTCTTCTATCCATGAGCATGGAATGTTTTTCCATTTGTTTGTATCATATCTGATTTCTTTGAGCAGTGCTTTATAGTTGTAGAGATCTTTCACCTCCTCGGTTAGCTGTATTCCTTGGTATTCTTTTTGTGGCTATTGTAAATGCAGTTCTTGATTTGGCTCTCAGCTTGGATGTTTTTGGTGTATGGAAATGCTACTGGTTTTTATACATTGATTTTGTATCCTGAAACTTTATCAAAGTTGTTTATCAGTTCTAGGCACGTTTTGGCAGAGTCTGGGGTTTTCTATGTATAGAATCATTATCATCAGTAAAGATAGTTTATCTTCCTCTCTTCTTATTTGGATGCCTTTTATTTCTTTATCTTGCCTGATTACTCTGGCAGGGACTTTCAGTACTCTGTTGAATGAGAGTGGTGAGAATGGTCATTCTTGTCTTTTGTTCCAGTTCTCAAAGGGAATGCTTCCAGCGTTTCCCTTTTTAGTACGATATTGGCTGTGGGTTTGTCAGATGGCTCTTACTATTTTGAGGTATGTTTCTAATTTTTCGATGTCTAATTTGTTGAGGGTTTTTAACATGAAAGGATGTTGAATTGTATTGAAAGCCTTTCTGCATCTATTGAGATGATCATATGGTGTTTGTTTTTAATTTTGTTTATGAGGTGAATCACATTGATTTACATATGTTGAAACCTTGCACCCCAGGAATAAACCCTTCTTGATTGTGGTGAGTTAACTTTTTGATGTGTTGCTGGATTCGGTTTCAGTATTTTGTTGACGATTTTGCATCTGTGTTCATCAGGGACATTGGCCTGAGGTTTTCTTTTTTCACTGTGCCTCTGCTGGGTTTTGGTATTACAATGACGCTGGCTTTGTAGACTGAGTTAGGGAGGAGGTCCTTTTCCTGGATTGTTTGGAATAGCTTCAGTAGGTTTGGTACTAGCTCTTTGTACATCTGATATAATTCAGCTGTGAATCTTTCTGGGCCAGGGCTTTTTTGGTTTATAGATTTTTTTATTACTGATTCAATTTTGGAACTTGTATTGTTCTGTTCAGGATTTTAATTTCCTCCTGGTTCAATCTTGGAGTTTGTGTGTGTTTCTATGAATTTATTCATTTTTTTGGGAGGTTGTGTTTCTTGAATTTATTCATGTCTTGGGAGGTCGTGTGTTTCTATGAATTTATTCATTTCTTTGGAGGGTGCGTGTTTCTGTGAATTTATTCATTTCTTCTAGGTTTTCTAGTTTGTGTGCACAGATGTTTATAATCTCAAGATATTTTACATGTCTGTGGGGTTGGTTGTAATGTCACCTTTGTCATTTCAGATTGCGCTTATTTGGATCTTTTCTTAATCTAGTTAGCAGTCTATCTTGTTTATTCTTTTGAAGAACCAACTTTTGGTTTCAACATTTACATTTTAAAAAGAAGCCAGTTTTAGCTGTAGTGTGCTACTATAGATCATTCTTGTTCACTGAGTAAAACGGCTTCAGTACTTTGCTCTTGCAAAGGCTATTCTATGTCTATGATGTACACACATTATATTTCTCTTAAAATGCATTGGGGCTTTCCCATTCCTCTTTCTCTTTATCATATTATACTGTTTCCATCAATTAGTACAATTGAATGGTAAATGGTTGCTCATTTACAAATTAAATATAGTAACCATACCTTATCCTTCCAGCAGTTGTCATAGTGGTGTTGGATTAATATCTTCTTTTCACTGAGGCACTATTATATTCTAAATAGTTTTTTAAAAAATACTTTGTCTTCCTATACTGTTTTATTTTTGGAAAATCATGACTTTTTTATGTATAATGTAAGTTAAATCTCTATTTACATCCACCAGAATTAGTATAATAAAAAAGCCAGACAGTAACTAGTTTTGGCAAGGATTTGGAGGCATTAGAATCTTCATACATTAATGGTAGGGATAGAGTTCTCATATGATGCAGCAGTTTTACTTCTAGGTGTATACCCAAGATTATGAAAACATGTTCACACAAAAACTGTTACATAAATGTACACAACAGCATTATTCCTTATAGCTGAAAAATTCACACAATTCAGATGTCCATCAGCTACTGAATGGATAAATGTGGTACATCCATACAATGGACTGTACAATGTACAACTCAGCAATAAAAAGGAATGAAGGACTGATACTTCAAAACTGGTTTTGAAAACCTAAGTGAAAGAAGCCAGTCATAAAAGACCACATATTATATGATGCCAGTTTTATGAAATCTTCAGAATAGGCAATTCTGTAGAGACAGATAATAAATTAGTAATTGCTTAGAGTTAGAGCAACTAACTCTAAAAGTTAGTTAGAGAGTGGAGAGCAGGAATGGGGAGTGACTGCTGATGGGAACGGGCTTGCTTTTAGGGGTGACAGAAATGTTCTAAAATTAGATTTATATCAATAAAGCTGTTTTTTAAGTAAAAAGATCTATTTATATGTAAATAATAAGATCTGAAGAGTTTGTGACTTGTAAGTTAGTTACCCTCCTAAGTTACTATATCAGAATTATGATGACAACATAGATCTTCTGACTCTTAAACCAGTGTTCTTTTCCTCACAGCACAGATACACTAATTTTAAAAAGTTTTTTACTTTAAGGATTGGATAGTTGATAGAGTTAGTGTACTTTTGTTATTAAAATATGAGTGGAATGAGAAAGTTCAGACATTTGCACACTTTAAATGTAAGAAATGTTTATGGAGCTTTGCTATTCTACATTTTTATTGCACTTTTGCAGTTTATGCCATTTATTTAAAAAACTCGCAATTGTAACAATTTTCTTAACTTATTGTATATGAAAGAATAACATTATTTGTTAATAATTTACTTTAAGATATTGAAACCATCTGAAAAGAAAGCTAAGTACCAGTATGGTGGACTGAATTCTGGACGTCCTGTCACTCCACCTCGAACAGCTAATCCACCGAAGAAAAGGTGAAGAAAGGAATTCTGTAAAGAAACCGTCAGATTTGTTAAGGACATCTTCATAATATATAAGTGTGCACTGTAAAACCATCCAGCCATTTGACACCCTTTATGATGTCACACCTTTAACTTAAGGAGACGGGTAAAGGATCTTAAATTTTTTTCTAATAGAAAGATGTGCTACACTGTATTGTAATAAGTATACTCTGTTATAGTCAACAAAGTTAAATCCAAATTCAAAATTATCCATTAAAGTTACATCTTCATGTATCACAATTTTTAAAGTTGAAGAGCATCCCAGTTAAACTAGATGTGATAGTTAAACCAGATGAAAGCATGATGATCCATCTGTGTAATGTGGTTTTAGTGTTGCTTGGTTGTTTAATTATTTTGAGCTTGTTTTGTTTTTGTTTGTTTGTTTTCGCTAGAATAATGGCAAATACTTCTAATTTTTTTCCCTAAACATTTTTAAAAGTGAAATATGGGAAGAGCTTTACAGACATTCACCAACTATTATTTTCCCTTGCTTATCTACTTAGATATCTGTTTAATCTTACTAAGAAAACTTACGCCTCATTACATTAAAAAGGTATTTTAGAGATTGATTGTTTTAAAAAACGCAGATTGTCCAATCCAGTGATTTTAATCATACATTTTGACTGGGCAAACTTTACAGCTGATAGTGAATATTTTGCTTTATACAGGAATTGCCACTGATTGGGATTTGTGCACTCTAATTTTTAACTTATTGATGCTCTATTGTGCAGTAGCATTTCATTTAACTTTAAGATAAGGCTCATATAGTATTACCCAACTAGTTGGTAATGTGATTATGTGGTACCTTGGCTTTAGGTTTTCATTCGCACGGAACACCTTTTGGCATGCTTAACTTCCTGGTAACACCTTCACCTGCATTGGTTTTCTTTCTTTCTTTTTTTTTTTTTT